AGAGATTAAAGGACAGGGGCTCCAACTCCAGGAATAGAAAACTGAAGGTTGAAGAATTATTAATTATATCTGGGAGAGAAAGAGCTCAAAGATTTATGGAAACCTGATCCCAATGAATGTGTATCACACAAGAGTGAATCTTCTCAAGATAACTGTCCACAAATAATATATACGGATACATATTACTTTAGGCTATGTTCCATTCAGTGATAAATTTCTGTTTCCTTACACACTGATGTCATCAAAGGTGCATCAATAAGTAATGTGTTAGCAGTTGGGGAAGGCAAGTATCAATTTCCTAGTTACCTGTTTCTGATTAAATTCCTACTTTTCAATTTTTATTAATTTTATCACATTTCCCTACAAACTTCTATGATATTGCTTATCCAGACAGTTTCTATTCACTTGTAGACAGCTATAGTTTCCGGTAGTTTCAAGGAGTCTCAACAGTGCTGCCTTCTGTGAGTACTCATGAGTACCCACATAAGTACACACACACACACACACACACACACACACACACACACAAACACCAAAGAGCATTCATCCTGATAATTCATATGTGACCATTCCATATTTTACACACGTCCTTAGCTAAAGAAGTCAAGTAAAGGTGCACATGTTACAAACTGAAGGATCTTTGACACACGTAGTTGTACATTGCTGTTTCTCAGACCCCTTCCAATAAACAGCCTCACTGGGTGCAAGCTCATGAGATATGGCCTCCAGTGATGACTACAGGCATAATCACATGACCTGCTCTAGCGAGCGTGAAACTAGCAAATGTGGAAAATGGGAACATAGTGAGGTCTTTAATGATGGTGGTTTGTTTCATCTATGCAGATGTGAGGATGCCATAGACACAGGTACTAGAAGAAGAGGCTTCGCCTCAGCTTTTCCAGATTTACCCTTACACACTTGGCCACCAGGAAAATGCAGCTGCCAGGTGAGTCCAAGACCAGTGGACTAAAGAGAGTCATGGAAAATAATCATTTACTCATCACTAACCTTTGGAGCAATTTGTATATGATGTCTGTGGAGAAATGAGGCACTTTAATCACTATCTACCAGGGTATTATTGGGCAACACTGACTTTTAGATTTTCCTCATTTATAAAATCAGGAGCATAATAATTGTGTAGATCTTACTATTTAATGCTCACTGCACTTAATCTTCATACAATCAAATATATAGCACTGTCTGTAGAAAATAAAACGTAAGAAAGATAATCAAATGGAACTAAAGTCACAAATATCTATTGAAAAAATATTTTTTCTCTATCTCCCTCTCCCTCTCTGTCTGTCTTTGTCTCTCTCTGTCTCTCTATGTGTCTCTCTCTCTGTCTCTCTGTCTCTCTCTCTGTCTCTGTCTCTCTCTCTCTCTCTCTCTCTCTCTCTCTCTCTCTCTCTCTCTCTCCATAAGTGACCTATTTGTTGTGAGGTTGAGATATATCAAGTGAATTTTCATGTGACCAATACTTTTGGTCAGTGGTTGAACTGATCTTTCTAGCTTCTTGTGCTTCTGTGCTTTTGCTAAAGGAAACTTTCTCTCCTGTAAAATCCTACCTTATTCTATTATACTCTGGAGGGCAGTCCATCTGCTTGTGCTACTTTACTACATAACTAGCTCCACTTAAGAGACTAAAAGAACATAAATCTAGAAACACAGATCCCTACTTGTCAAGACCATATAATACTTCTCCTGTTCAGTAATTATGCATGATAAACATCCTGATTATAACACATTTCATCTACTGAGGTGATCCACTAACATACACATAATCTTGGTTACTGACATAACTAGGCTACACACAGCTTCTTAATGTGCTATTTCCTGTACAGAGAGACTTCTTTTTATCTCTTTCAAGATTGTTCAAATGGTGGTGCCTTGCATACTGAGAGCACCATTTGCATTCAATTAAAATTTGAGTCCTCAAGCCCTCAAAACTAATTTACTCCAAACAAGTTTGCTTCTCTTTCAGTTGTTGATTGAAAGCAAACATTTTAAGGCTCCACAGATTTATTATTGACAAATTATGAAAATTATATTTCTAAATCATTTTAACTCTAGATTTTCTCTAAGTAGCCTTACCCACATTTTAATGAACAATTTTTTCATCAGAGCATCCTAAATCAAGCTTCATGAAAGTCTTCAAAGTGAATTCATATCCAAATTAACAAAATATAATAACATTGTGTTTATTTATACCATAGAAACAAGAGCTGGAGTTGTCAAGGCAAAAACCTACCCTTTCTGTATATTTGAAAAACTAGGTGATATTTCTTTAAAAGATGTCAAAAATATTGGCAAGTGATAGTCCTGCATGGATGTGTGACACATATGAAAAAAGAACAAAGCTATTTTCCATTAAGTGAGAATATTTAAGAATACGTTAAAGAAAATGATTGATACATGTACATTTCAGGGTACTTAGCATCCTGAAATTATACAGCTGTTAAGATGATGCACTGTATGGTTAGGGCAACTAGCAACTCAGATTTTCAATAAAAATGTGACAGAAAATCTTATAATTTTGAACACTATATCTGAGTTTAAAGGAAATGGATAATAGCCTCTTCTGGGAAAACTGAAAACTCATAGTCTATGTAATGAGATTTTAGCAAATATTACATGCAAGATCTTGTCCTCTTCCTTCATATCTTTTTACTCCCCAGGAGACAATTCCATTTGCATGCATAGGAGGCCAGCCTTGTTCCCTCCAGGATTCTGGCGGATTTGCATTCTGACTTGCTCTTCTCTTGCCAGGAAAGACTCATCACATCCACTTATCCCTTATATGATGTCTCTAGATCCAAAAGAAGGAAAATAAAATTGAAAAAATAACTACACGTTTTGAAATAATATTCTCATGATGTTGTTTCTTGATCTATCCTTGAAATTGCTTCCTTAAAAGTATGCCTCCTTGAAAATATAACAATTGTATCTACTATTTAAAGATATATCTGTGTACCTACTTATTTTTATCATATTCAGAATAATATTGTTCAAATTATTTTACCTTTCTTTAGTTTTCCATATCCTTGAAGATAAGAATCATTCTATATAGCCATTATTCATTTATTATATATTTTATAGTTGTAAATAAAAAGTGTGCTCACAAATTCTCCTAAAATGCATTTTTGCTAAGCAATATTATTCATCAGTACACACTAACAGTTCAAGTGAATAAACATCTAAAAGAAAAATAAAAAATACGAATATACATATAAATATACAAACATACATACATGCATACATATATACATACAGTGTATGTATAAAAGTATATAAGTGCAAACATAGTACTCATTTGTGTTTTGTGATTTTGTTTCTCCCATGAAATCCAGGAAGCAAAACAAGTATTTCTGTCTGTTTCACCAAAAAAAGGAAATAATGCCTTCAAGGTACTTAATTTGACTTTTCTATGTTAGAAAAGTACACACATTCATATGTGTCCATACACAATTTTTCTGATGTTTTTTCTCTCTCTCTCTCTCTCTCTCTCTCTCTCTCTCTCCCTCTCTCTCTCTCTCTCTCTCTTCCCCCAGCTTTTCCTCTGTAGTTTCTGTTTCAAGAAAGACTTTATCATGCAGTCACTCATTTATTCAACCAACATTCAAAATAGATCATGCAATCTGTCCAATTGCACCATATAGGGACACTCCACCGCTCATCACTGTTACAGCCTCCTTCTCTGCCCTCTCAGGAGACTGCAGGTTCAGTGAAATTCATTGTAGGCCAAGATGAGGAGACTGACAATGAAATTAGTTAAGAAAGTCTCCAGGTGCCTTTAGATGAGCAATGAAAGTTAAACAGTTTCTGAATCCCTGCCATCTTGTACCTGAATCTTGCCACACAGCTTTCTGGCCTCTTCCTTGTAGGCCGAAAACATCTTTATCTATCAAGCAATCAGGGAAATAAAACTGGAATATTTAAGTGATTATAAATTGATCACAAATCATGTTTCATGTATTCTGCTTTATAAGGATAACTAAAGTTAAGATGACTTACTAAATTTTTTATGATTCCAAATAGTGATAACATTGTTAATTCTAGAAGACAGAAGAACTTTTTGTAGTCTTGATTAAATTAGATTAATATTAACCATCAGATGAAGGCAGTTTTTTACAGGACCACATTCCTTTTACTACTCTATAGAGCACAAGAGCTATAGAATAAGTTTGATATAGAATATAGCATCAGTTATATGTGGTGGACTTACCTAATATGCCCAAAGAAAATAAACAGAAGTAAACATGCTGTTTAACTTTATTAAGATACTTAGTAAACAGTGTTAAAGAATGACGACCCTGTAATACTTTCATTCTCTTGAATGGTTTTACACTGTCTTTTTATGTTTGATAGTATAGTATATCAAGGTATACTCAAATATTTCAAGGAAAGAGACACTATGGTAGCTACTGTTATGTCGGATCGTCCTGTGGTGAAACACTATGTTGCTTAAATTGTTCTGTTCTGACCTGTGTTGTTATGTTCTATTTCACCTTAATCTTTTTAAAATAAAAAAAAAAATTAAAATTTAAAAATAATGAAACACAAAGAATGACGACCCTTTATGGCTGCCTCTGAAGACACTGTGGAAACAGAAATTTATGCAGGCTCAGAATTCAGGGAAATCCAGGTTTTCAATAATCTTTTATCCAATAGTGTGGATATTCAACTACCAGGTGTCAGTATCCCAATTTCTCTCAGCTTAGGTCTTGACTTTGCTAGACGTACCTGCCAACACTTAGAACTAGGACACTCCAGAATGATGAAAACACGAGGAAACAGACTTTTAGAGATTCATTTGTAAAAAATTCTTTGAAGAGAGCTCTAATACAAGGATGAGTACAAACTCTGTAAAGAATACAAGAGTAATCAGTCAAACAAAGAGTTCTCTGTAGACGCCACCAGGAGCTCTGGATCCAGTACAATTTTGCGGCATTGCTGGCATTGAACCAAGAAAGGCAGTCCTTAATACTTTGCACTGTCCTTGGGAAGGGAGATCTGGATGAAAAAGTTAGTATTCATTTTGTCAATAATTCCACGGGGACTCACCGTGAGAACACTGAGCTGCCAACCCTAACAGCAACTGAGAGAAGAAGACGTGTGCTTCTATCTACAGGGAAGTGAGAGGTATGTTAACAGCACAGTCTTCAATTATTTCTTATTAGTCTTATTAATTGTTTTAGGTTGTAATAGCTATGATTATTTCACCATAAAGCACATCATAGGAAATAGAATTATAAAAAAGTCAATGTACCTTTAATGAATTTATGTGGCCATCTATTATATAATTCAAAATGTTCAAATACATTTTTACTGATCAGTCTATTAAGATAACTTCAATAACTAAATGGGACAAAGTTCATATATAATCTGTAGATTATACCTGAAGAACAAGAATGACTACTTAAGCAAAACCAAACTCTTCTCTAATAATTTAGATGTGTTTAAACATCTCCATTCTAGTAAATGATATTACTCAATCTGTAATTTCTTCCTCGTAGTTTGTCATTGAAGATTTACCATGGTATGAATGAAGTTCCATTTCTTTACATGGTTCTATCTATTTTCAACGAGTACATGCTGTTATTTTCTTGTAAAAACATTTTTCCTTGATCTTGTTAACACCCTCTAGTAGTGGCATTTGACTTCTGCCAGTAAAACACATTTTTTGATAAAGCTATCAGCTGAGCACTTTCCAGAGGACCTTCTCACTTTTGCTAGAAAACAAAATTTAGAAAAGAAGGCATAGTGAATAATTTTACTCAAGTGTCAGGCATGATTGTCTTTCAAAATCATGGTAGCAATTCCAAACACAGTTAAAGATTAACTCCGAGGAAGAATCGGAAATGGCTTAGGTTTTCAAGGTACAGAGCAAGGCAAAAGTCAGGTCAGAAGCTTCTCTAGAGTAACAGCAATCCTGTGACCCTGCTTACTCATTCTGCCAGTAAAGAGTTTATCTTTAAATCTTGAACTAATGACTCATTTAAACTCTGGAATACATACTCCAGTCTTTGTTGCTATCAGTTGTGACAAAATAATTGACTTTGTGTCTTTATATAATTATGCAAAGTGCTGTCAGTTTACAAATCAAAGACACCAGGAAAAATAAATTTTGCATATGTTCAAATTTTTACAATTTTACTAATTTTTACTGCAGCATATATGAAGGGATGTGTTGATAATAAAGATTATGTTGCCAGTTTAGTTAAAAAGAAAGTTTTTACAATGGAAATAAATGCTGAGTAACTTATTATCAAAGGAACAAAAGTGATAAAACATTTTTTGGTTTTTTATATTTTATAATTCATGTACAAAACGCAGTTAGAGGGCCTCTAATTCTCTAGTAATGATAATTGTAATTCATTTTATTCAAAGGAAGAAGTGAGTGATTTTAATGTGATTACTTCATTGACACTGAATCTCTTTTCATAAATTCTGCAAATTAAAAACAATAGTGATGGTGAGTTCAGGAAAAGATGGAGTCTCCCATTCCTCAGTCCTTCCTGTTATCATTAAAACATTCTGGAAATAATAAATCAGCACAAGAATACGAAAAGGAAGAAGAAAGAATAAGCCAACTAGAGAGATGCAGGGGTCACATTCTGGATTCTCAGTTGCTTCCTGTATATCTTGGTCAGGGACTTTGGAAGCCTCAGTGGAGACTCAACCTGCAGAAACCAAAATGGTGACACAGGATTCCATCCATGAAGCATTTTTGAACAGAATTATAGAAATTATATAAAAGCTATATAAACAAAATGTCATGATGGCATACTTCTTCACCTTCATTGTGCTAGTAAATACAACTACACAGGAGACAAAACTACGGAACTGAACAGACACGTGCACTGACACACAAGCAAGTACCCGCAAAGCTAAGGAAGTGTGAGAAAGTCAGGCTGAGCCTTTCAGTACAGACATGGGGCTGTCACAGTGTACCCCAGTTCTCAGTGCTGCATCTTTCAGGAAGATCAAGTAAAACACGTAGTGTGCATTTTTACTATTTGTTATAATTCCATGTGAATCCAGAATAACTTTAATTTTAAAAGAGGTTTTACTGTGTTTAGTAAGAAAAATTGAAATTAAGCCTATAAAGTAAAACAGTGTTTAAAAAAACCTAGTCTATAACCTCTCAGCAGACTAAACACTTTCAGTTACAAAAACCTTATTGCATTTTTAAATATACTGAATCTTCTCTAAACCTGTTTCTTTTTTCAGCATTATTTCTTACACCTTAAAGATGAAAAATTCCAAAAATACACTAAGTTGTCTTTCTATTAATAGATTTTTTAAAAAAAAAAGTTTTCCAGATCCTTCATCTTATCTTAACAAGATAGGACACTCTGATTCTTTGCTGTATTGGTCACTTTCCCTTGAATATTACTTATCTTGTTTTGAGAGTATGAATTTCAAAATAATATCTGACATCAATGGCCAATTAAAATTGTAGAAGAAAACATTCATCATCCTTAGCTATAGAAATGGAGTTTATCCACTATTAAAGAGAGCTTGAAAACTAATTTTAAAAGTAAGAACAGAATGAATAAGCTGTGGAACAGCTATGAGCCATCTAATACACCTGTAATAAGAATTCCCGAGGTACAAAGAAAATAAAAAACAATTTGAGACAGATGGTTGAAAATGTTCAAAATTTGATAAATTTATAAGCATGTAGATCCAGCAACCCATGCACAAGAAATATAAAACCCAATCATGAAAAACCTGAACAATATCGCAAGGCACATCATGGGAAACTACTCAAAACTAATGATGAGACATTCTCAAGTGCAATCAGATAAAAGACACTTTACTTAAACTGGAAAAAAAAAAAACAAAGATATTAGTAGGTTTATTACTAGAAGCAAAGTAAGTAAATGGCACAATGTGGAAATGCTAGTTTCTTTCACCATTTATTGAAAGAATATTTGAGCTATTTAGAATTCTATCATGTTGAAACTATTTTTCAAGAAAAATTTGTCTTAAATATAAAAGCGATAATAGTTCCTGTGCTACAGACCAATACCATAAGAAATGTAAGAGAGATTTCTTCAGGCAGTAGAAAGATGATATCATACTAAAATATAAATCAGATCCAGATAATGTATAGAAAGAGAAATGTTGACTGCACTCATAATTATATCAGATATATTGGTTATTATAAAAAATTTACTTACATTAGAATTAACAGTGACAATGCAGCATGTGGCTTATTTGCATTTATGTAAAACGTGTGACAACAATTACATACCAGTTGAGAGAAAGCAAATTGAAATATTGCAAAATTCTTATAGATGTGATCATAACATTTAGTGTTTATATTAAAAATTATAGTAAACTATGCATTACTATTAACCCCCCTCAAAGTATCTCCACTGGCTTAGAATCTACTTATCCAATCATTCTTGAACTTTTTGAAGCAGACCTTAAGCTCCTCTTTTGTCAGTCTCTTTATGTGTGGTGTCAGTGGTACCTTGATGACCCAAATTGATTTAAAATGTTTAATTTTCATTGTCGTTTGGGTTTGGGGAAGAGCCAGAAGCCACACAGTGTGGATGTGGTCAGACCAACCACATTTTTATGATTCTGGCTTTCCCTCTGGTATTCAACAGCATCATTGATTTTTTAATTCATAGAGACCATCATGAAATTGGACTTCAAGAACTGCCTGAGAAAGACACAGAATCATGGGATAGGTATGTTTGAAACTAAGGAGAGTATTTTCATAAATACTAATGTCATTTTGGCTTTTGCTGAAATAATATTTTATTCTAGCACACCATAATTTTTGAGTAACTACTATTCATAAAGTAGTACAGAAGAAATAGATGAGTTTAATATTGTTCATTTAAAAAAATGCAATGGTAGTTTAAAATTCTAAGTCCAAATGGTTCTGCAGGTTAATTCAATAAAGTATCTAAGGAGTCATCATGCCAGGAGACATTACAGTCCCAGACTTCAAATTGTAAAACTTCAGTGACAAAAACAACTTGGTACAGACATACACGTGCACAGAAATAAAAAATACATGTGGATCAATAGAACAGAATAGAGGATACAAAAACAACGCTAGGCACATTCATCTATCTGATCTTTGAGAAAGAAGCCATAAATATAAGCTAGATGAAAGAAAACTTCTTTAATAAATAGTTCTGGGACATCTACCTATCCACATGCAAAGGATTTAATCTAAACCTCTATCTCTCACCATGTGCTAAACTAAGATAAAAATGGATTGAAGATCATAGTACTAAAACAGAAATAATCTTTTTGGATGATAAAATAGAAAAAAAATCTTCAAAATATGGGCAAAGTCCTTCTGAACAGAACCATAATAGTACAAGAAATAAAATCAGAATAAATAAATGGAATTATGTCGAGTTTAAAAGCTTCTGCATAGCAAAGGAAACAACCAACAGAATAAGAAATCCTACAGATTGTATAAAGAGTTTCCAGCTGAAGCATAATATAGGACTAATATAAACTCTAAAAATACTTGACATCCAAAATAAAAGACAATTAAATAGAGACAACTGAAATGAATGTATAAATCTCAGAACAAGAGGTACAAATGCACAATCCATGAAAAAATATTTGTTGTCTCTGGCCAATAAAGAAATACATATTAAAGTAACACTGAGATTCCTTCTTACTCACAAAGAATGACAATCATGAAGAAATCAAATAATAAATTCTGGAGGGCTTCAAGGAAAAAGGGGCCCTTCTACAATGTTGTTGGGAATTTCAGTGTGGGAAGTCATATGGAAGTTACTCAAAATATTTAAAACAGAAATTCCATCCAACACAACTATTTTCCTTGTAGGTATTTTCCTGAAAGAGTTAAAGACATCATACTGCAGTGACATGTGCCTATTGCTATGTTGTAGATCTATAATGCTCCCCTCAAGGCCTTAAGTGCTGCCTGGTGGGATTTTGGAGGTAAACGTATCATAAGTGTGTGATACTGGATCTTGGTTGTTTGATAACAGGATTCGCTCACTGATTGGATTAGTGTAGTTCTGGATGTGGTTGAATGAATTTATTAAAGAAAAAAGGCCCACTCTGGAGGTGACTGGCACCAAGATTGTAGCCTCAATAGAATAAAATGTAGAAGGCAGGCTTGCTCTTTCCTGCTTCCTGTCTGCCCTGCCATGAACTGTTTCAGCTCCACCACACCCATGTGCCATGTCACCCTGCCTTCAACCCAGCCAATTACAGGCTAAAGCCATTACACACTGTTAGCAAAGTAAACCTTTCCTCCTTTAACTTGTGGGTGTCTGGTGATTTTTCCAGCACAGAAAAAGTAACTAAGAGCACCTATAAATATAGCCGTACAACTCATAATAGCTAAATCTTGGAAAAGGGCTATATGTCTTAATAGAAGTAAGGAAAAAGAAATGTGGTATTCCTATACAATTGATTGCACACACTTTGCCATAAAGTAGGCTACATAATTTCCTTACTTCTACTAAGAAGTCTGTGCATAATTTTTTATAGAAGCTTAATATAATTATAGAAATTCAAGAGAAGTCAAGATTTCCATTAGTAACAATATGGATACATAAACTGTGACATGTCCAGACAATGATCACTATGTATCAATAAAATAGCTATGAGATCTGTGGATTCATATTGCTAAATATAGAAATCTGTTTTTTATATATGTCTATATATAGATGTATATCTACATTTATATTTCAACTTTAGGACATTGTGGAACATTCAGAAGTATGAATTTAAACAGGAAAAAGATCAGCCACTGTTCATGGTCAGGGGGATATAGAGATAAACAGGTGGACTAAAGGGCACTTTTAAGACTAAAAATTTCCAAGTGATGCTGTAACAATGGAAACATTTGTCCAAACTCACAAAATGTACAATGCTGAGAGTTCACTGTAATACACAAGGTGTTGGAAATAATTCTGTGCCACTGTAAGTTCAACAGCGGCAGCAAATGCACCGCTCCAGTGCAGAATGCGCACAGTGGCAGAGGCCGTGCATGGCAGAGGGGGCCGAGGAGCTCACCTTCATGCTCGGTTTCACTGTGAATCTAAAACTACTGTGAAAATAATCTACAAAATGAATAAAATACCTCCAAATATATTTAATTTGTCCTAGAAACCCAAATAGAAAACTGTAAAATATTCTGAAAGAAGTTAGTCTTAAAATTATTGAATATTCTATTGATTAGAAATATCAATATTATTAATATGAGTTTGTTCAATTGAATGCAATGAATCCTAGAAAGATTTTATTCTTGTAGAAACTGTCAATCTGATTTTTAAATTTATACAGAAAACAATGTAGTAATTCAGTTTTGAATGAAGTTTAGCTTTTATATTTATAAATACAAACTATTTTATATTTATAAATATGAAAGACAAAAATCATCATAAAGTCAGGTCTCATTTTTGTGCAATTAAAGCCAAATAGAGCAGTCGGTCAATGTAGTTCTGTAAATGAACAACTGATGTGTGATCTTACAGATTATGACCTCACAGAGTGAGGACAAAATGATGCTTGTTTATTTGCTTGGTTTGGAAATTGAACTCAAGGTTTCCCTATTAAGCACCATTCTCAGCACTCTTTTAAAAAATCATGTTTTCAGAGAGGGTCTTGTCAGTCATTAAGTCAGTCAATCTGTGCCTGAACCTGCTGTGCTCTTGCCTCAGCCTCCCAGATTACAGGAATGTCTCACCACATTCAACTCAAAATGATCTCTTTAACATAAATTTGAAGGCTAAATATACACATACACATATATATGAAAATTTACATAAAATTAAATAAAAATAGTGACAAAAATGTATATTATCTAAATATATAAAGCTCAAAAATGTGTAACACTAATTTCTAGTATCAGAAGTAAGGATTATTGTACAACTTTGCACTGATCAATATATGACAGCGAGTGCCTTTCTGGTCTCTGAGGTGCTCATAATGTTAGGTGTCTGTGTTTGTCAGTGCTGACAAGAGAAGCAGATTTAATGCAAGACATACAAAGTTGTAAGACCTTACAGGATGGCTTATCATGGTCGCCCACAGAGTCAGGGGTGGAAGAGTGCTAAAGGTCTGGCTGTGCACAGGAGGGGGGCGGGCAAGGGACCCAGTCAAAGGCCCAGATGCAGTGTCTGGTGGAGCCCATGCCATAGGGTCTGCACTAGAAGACCTAAGGGAGACAATGTCCAAGGTGAGAGTGAAGACGGGAACTTCTCTGAGGAAGACAGAAGCAAGCCTTTCTGCCTTCTTTCCCCTTTATACCATTCTGGTGACAATCCTCCCTAGGGTGGGTCTCCACATGCAGAACTATGCTGAGCCAGTTTGAGCCAGTTTAGTTGGGCATTTCTTATTCAAATTGACACAATCAATCAATCTTCACAGTGTCTTGTTTTTTTTTTTTTTTTTTTTTTTTTTTTTTTTTTTTTTTTTGTCTTTTTGACGCAGGTCTAGCTAGGCAGTTTATGCTGACCTTGAGCTCACTTTGTAGCTCAGGCTGCTCTCCTAACTCACAATGATCTTCCTGCCTCAGTCTTCCAAGTGCTGGGATTACAGGAGTGTGCCACCACCATGCTGGGCCTCACAGTGTCTTAATTAGTGTACAAATCACAAAATGTTATACATGGTGAAAATTTATTTAGATAAATTGTCCACTTATATACTTTCAAACTAAAAATACACTTTTAAAAACAACTAATGAACAAATAACAAAAATTTGTAATGCAAATCTGCCTAGGTAGCTATTTCTGACATTTTACAGCAAACCCTGTTTTCTGTAATTATTTTTTGAAAAAAAAAACAAAATGAAATCATAGGCCACATAATATATAAAAACTGATTGTGACAATAAAGTAGTGTGCAAAATTGAGATAAGTAATTATCTACAAAATTATAGCACACATGTAAAAGAAAATACTATGCATATTTGTATGTGTAGTATCCCAGACAGATGAAATAGAATTCATGATATTCTATTTCAAAAGAAGCCATAATTCTGGTTTTCTTAAAATAAGAATATAGTAAGACGAGAATTATCTCAATAAACTTTTCCACATAATTGTTTTTGGAGTGCTTTTAGGATAAATTCCTAAAAGTGAAACTGAAATGATCACATCAATATCAGCAAACTCTCCAACAGCTGGTACCAATTTTCTTATGGCTAGCAACTCACAACAGATAACTATTTCTCTCTAACTGTAAACATTGTATGCTCTCTTCACACTAATCTTGCTAACATAAAAGTTAAAATTAGCATAACAATTCTACTGAATTTTTATAACGTTATGGAAAACCAATTTTATTTTTTTCATGGTAATTTCTGTATATAGAAGTTTTATACAGAATAACTTGCATAGTAAATCTAAAATTTCTCTCTTTCATGGGTTTTGCCATTTGCTATCTTTAAGGGGGTATCAAATGCCGAAATAACAGATATTCAATGACAGAGTTTTCATCTGTAAGAAAATCTAATCATTGTTTTTGTTAGTTTTCAAGCATTCATCACAATTGTTTTGTCTTACCTGCCTAACTATAACACCAAAAATCTTTTATTAAAACTATACTAGAGATGTTCAATAACTTTTAGAGAATTGATTTTTTAATTTGTAGATTCTTTCATTAGAGACATGTAAAATTATTTCACTACTTAATACACATAATTCAGTAAATATTTATAGTCTGACAATGTGGCATTTCGCAG